TCACCTGAATGTAGGTTAGGATACGAATGTAGGTCTTCACTCGTCTTTGTATCACGGTACAAGTAGTACAAGTACTGTCTTTCTCATGTGCGCTTTGCGGCAGAAATTGTGCCTTTTCTCAGGACTCACCCAAAGGCCCCATTTGACCCCTTGCTCTTCTTTCTCAGGGCACGCCACTCGAGGCGTGCTGGATGCTACTAAACTGCACAGGCAGTCAAGATAAGGAAGGGTGTCACATATTTAAGTTGGCATTTTTTAAAAATCTGTGTTTTGTATTATTCATGTCAAATAAAGAGAGACAGTGGATGTTTTTCTTTTTTTTTTTTTTTGTTGCCTAATTAAAATTACTCGACACAACGTCCATGTGTGTGCGTGTGTGTATTGTTGCGTTGACAAATGTTAGCCACAAGCAAGATAACCTTGGCAGCGGGTGAGAAAGCTGTTGCTAGGTAACTATAGACTGCTAGTGCACCGTTAACTCTTGCGGCAGAAATAATCACAGCGCACGGTTTTATAGGCAATGATATGAAAAAAAATATTTTATTCATTTTATTTCAACTTAAAATTGGGGGGGGGGGGAAGAGGGGGGTCTGCAGTATTGGGTCCTACCGTGTATTTGTAGCAGCAGCAGGTGCAATACAGTGTAATTAAAACTAAAATGAAGTGTGATACCTGTAAATGTTGAAAACAAAATGTAGAAAAAGTGAAACAGAAAGACAAATGAACACGAATACGTTAAAAGCCACCGCACTCTTTTTTTCATGTGTCATTTTGTTGCTTCATGATGTGAAAAGGGCAAAATGACACGAATGGAGGACGATGACAACATCCGGATGTCAAGCGGTCCGAGTGCACCAACTGCATATTGGTGCCGAACACATCATATCGTTCGAGAGCACTTCTGTTGTCTATTACAGTTAGTTGGCACGAGCTCTTCCTGGCCCACCTCCCGCCTCTGCTCTCCCCCTTCGCCCATCAGACGCTCCCGTCTCGGCTCTCTAATTTAATCAGACGACTTCCTGTTTACCTGTTTCTGAAGTCACATTTATGGGAGGGCGTGTGTGCGTGTGTGCGCGTGTGTGCGCGCGTGTGTGTGTGTGCGCGCGCGCGTGCGTGTGTCTACTCTGCAGCTGAGCAAATGTGGTTATCCATTTTCCAAACTAATCAGAGGGGCCATCCTGTCTCGTCTGCATTTCTAATCCCACTCATGCTCACATCTTGAGAAATTATTTTCATTTCTACCCCATGAATTGGGATGGCAAATAGAGAAGCATTCTGAGGACTTCATTGGTGGTACCCTTGAGCAAGGCAACAACCCTCTCAGCTCCCGTCAGGGGTGCAACACTCTTGGCGTGGCCCGTGTCTGACTTTTTCTGTGGACACAAAGTTTTATGGAAAGTGGTCAAGGGGTCATATTTAGATGTTGATTCCGAATTGTAAGTTTGGGACCGTGTTTGCATGGATAAAAAGGAAGCCAAGAAAAGCGAAACATGAAAGGATGTTGAGGACGAGAGGAAGTATGGAAGGATGCAACGAGCAGGAGAGAAACTGTGTGTGTGTGTGTGCATGATTGTGAATCTTTGCGATTTGAGCACAAGCACACTGGCATGTGTAGGCTGATAAAGAGGATGCTTGTTGCCTAGCAACAAGCCTGGGCTCTGCAGTTGTGCGCGCGCGCGCGTGTGGACGCACACACGCGCGTCCGTGCGAGCATGTGGAGCTGCGAATAGAGTTCAGCTGCAACGTCATGAAATCTGTATTTGCCGTGGCAAATTTTGCACGGGTAGTTTGTCGGATGCAGTCCGATTAAGTTGCCATCCGTAAAAGGTGTACCCGCCTCCCGTCTCGCTGGCATAGGCTGCAGATGACACTAATGACGACAAGTGGCTTACAATGTTGATGGAATGATACATGTTTCATGTTTCCATTGGCAGGTGCATGTGTGCATATTTCTCTTACGCGTCATTGTCTGTACACAAGTACGGCAGGTGAACCACGACGAGAATAAAAGTGACAAAGCGAGCATGATCTCAGCAGGCGTTCGTAGGTTCACCTACAATCTGTTCAAAGGTCTTCACCTTTCCACGATGAAGATATTTTCGACTCCATCCAGGAGGATGGCATCAATCTTTTATCATTTGCTGTTGCCTTTGAGCAGTTCAAATCTTGGAAACACGGCGGTTAACGCGACACGGGTGCTAAGAATGTCCGAAGAGTATCGCCGGATTGTAAACGTGTCTTGTGAACCTCAACCGCAATAAGTCGAAAGCTGTCACTCTTATTTGTCTCTTGCTTGGTAGCTTGACCTGCTTTGGCTTGAACTTGGATGGAAACGGATCCCCAAATCCCCTCTCTCTTCCATATCTGGCCGGTCTCCCTACTTGGCGGGGACACCGAGTCTCACTCGGGTTGTGCGCACATGTTTCATCAAGCAAACCATTTTTGTCGCTGCTTTTGGATAAATATTTGTGCATCACTGACACTCCGTGTATTTTTTTTCGAGATGTATGCTCAGTTAAAAAATTAAGATATGTTCCATAATACCGTATATATACACATCGAAATGTCATTGTTGGTGTGTCACTGCAAAAAAAAAAAAATGTTGATGGCTTGCACTCACATTTGTTTCCATGGCCCTTCATCCCAAACAGTCTCAAAGGGCTTCGCATGGCCACAAATGTTGACGACATCCCTTGATCTTAAGGCCGGAGAGGGCAAGGAAAAACTCCCAAATTCCCATCTGGGGAAAAACCTTGGGAAGGGGCCGCGGATGGGAGAAACTCCGTTTCCCGGATGATCAGGGTGCAATGGATGCCGAGTGGGCGACATTTGACACCATCTTGTACCCTACAGCGTTAGAATGATATCAACGTCCATTGAACAGGATGAAAACGCTTTCTTCTCGTAGAGTTGTAGCGCTCTTCGCTTTTACAACTTGATTTCATTCGATTCTTCAGGTGGAAAATGTCAAATCAAAGGAACATTTTCAGCTTATTAATTTCAGAATAACATAATATCTAAAAACACGTTCACAAAACAACTAATGTGTTGTGATGTTGGCTCTGGATATGAATATGTAGTTTTTGCGGGGGGGGGGGGCTGTCTTCCTGAAACAGAATGTTGTAGCGTTAATTTGCGTATATCAGGCTTGGAACAGGATGAAATTGCCAGAGTGCGCTGTCTGTCCTTATATGATGTCTCGTACGCAGCCTCTGCCCTTATTTGATGACATGAGTCATGTGGGGCAGTCAGGTCCTTTTATGAGGGCAGAAATGGGAGGGGTGGAGCGCATGGAAAAACAAATACCCTCCGCACAGTAGCTAGCGTGCGAGGAGAGAAATCCACCTGAGTCTCACAAATGGACTGGAAACAACTTTTCCGTGTGTATGATACGCTTTGACCATGCTTATACTTTGCAAGTTCAGATTTTTTTCGACCTCTGCTACAAATAAAAATGAAAAACCAAGTCAAATTACGGCCCGGGGGCCACATCCGGCCCTCCAACCGTCTTTGAGCGGCCCTGTCAGTGACCATGCAGTCAAATGAGCACGTAAGATATGGGCTGCTCAACGCTGCGTGCTCTGATAACAATAAGGCAGCGAATGACGGTCGTTGTCGCTTCTTCTTGTCTTGAATTGACAGACAAATACATCAGAACACGCACGCAAACACACAGGCGGAGGCGAGGATTTCTGTCCTGTTTACAGCCAAGGTCCAACATCTTGTCACCAAACATACAGCGTAAACATCAAGCCCAACTCAACAACGTCAAGGTTTGAAAGAAAAAAAAAACACCACACCATTCTTTTCACGCTGGGCAGTGACAAATAACATCATCGAATCTTCCACAATGCTTCCATCCGGGTATTGCGATGGCAGCAACAACCGCGTCAGATAAAAAGATGGGGTGGGAATCAAGGATATCAATTTCCGATTTTGCAAACCCTGAAAAATGTGGAAAATAAAAGCGGCGGCGAGATGAATGCATTGTCAGAGGAGAGGAATCCGGGGACGGACCGATCGGGGCCAACGCGACAGGTCTGCTCTCGACTTTCCGGAGAGCCGCGCACTATTTTCCATTCTCGCTGCCAGGGGAAGAGAGAGTGAGAGGACAAGAGCACAAACTTGGAAAGAATGGAAGGAGGAACAAGTGAAAAGCGTTTTGTTTAAAGCTGCAGCTCTTGTGAAAGCGCCATGGATGTGGATGTATTGGAAATATCACACCGGGGGTGGGGGGGGGTGTATGGGGCACGATAACCTCAATAAGGTTTCACTGCATTTCCCCCAAATTCCCGATGGCCACCCTGCCGGGCCAGTGATCCCTCAGATCAATCCACATCAGCAGATGACAATTCAACAGACTGCACTCAAACAAACAATGGATACTGACTCTGGTTTTAAGTGCTTTGCTGCGTGTGTGTGTGTGAGACAGAGCAAATTGAGTCGAATCCACAAGATAAAAGGGATATGTGCATTGATGAACATTCATAATGCAACACCATCTGCTCCCTAAGTTCAGTATCATTTTAAAAGTAAGGTCACATTTATTTGACCTCAGAGCATTTGTAGCAAAAAAAAAATAGGTCACTTGGGAGATCATCGCCGGTGCCACTTAGCCGGGGGGGGGGGGGAAACATTTTTTTGTTGTCGTCGTTGTTGTTGTTGTTTTTTTTCAGCTTGGCTGCTTTGTATGTGCAGCGTGTCGCGTACTTGCACTTCATGTTGCATCTGTTCTTCAACGGATAGACCGGTTGTTTGGTTTGCGTTTGTTTGCCTCGGTGGCGCCTCACACACAGTTGAAGGATCTTTGCGCTCAGCCGGAGAGCTCACGCCGCAGGAAAGCGCAGCGACCGATGATTCATAGCTCATGAAAAAAACATCTTCTGACTCTCCGTCTTCGCCTTAGGGAAGCGGAAATGGACATCGGCGAAGATACCCACCAACAATTCAGTCTGCATTGGCTGCTTCAAAGAGTAACTGATTTACTGCTTGTTTTCCAGAGTTACTTGGGTCTGCAAAGAAAGTCAACGTCAACTTCCAGGACACGGATGGGTGAGTTCCGTCATTTTCCACCTTTCTTATGTATGCTGTTCCGGCCCCCACGCCCCCTTCAACGTTTCCTCTCCCTGCCGCTCTTGCTTGTTCGGAGTCATCCTGACATCAGCGCCCTCTTCCCTCCCTCCACGCATTTGCTCTGCTTGGGCTTCATTCATATAAAAGCTTTCTTGTCCGAGTTAATTGTGCCTCTGTGATATTTTTTTGCTTCTGTTCAAAAGCACCATTTTAACCTTGTTCCAAACTGAAACGCGTATGAAGTAACAGATGAACTTTCTGTTTTGTTTTGTCATTGTCATGATTCGGTTTGGGACCAACAGGTGGCACTGTAGGGCTCTCCCTGCAGCTGCACACCTGTTGGTCGTTATGTAATTAGTGCTTTAAAAGGACTCCCAGCCCGAGCACTCATTGTTGCTCTTTGCTGCTGTCAGGTTTGTTTGTTTGTTTGTGTGTGTGTTTGTTTGTCATGTTTCTGTTATTGATAGTTTGGAGCTTCAGTCATGGTTTTTGCTTGATACTTTGGACTTTGTTAGTTTAGGATTTAGTTTTCTGTGTTTTATCAATACACTTCTTCAAGTACACCCTACTCCTCCCTCCTGCCTACTTTTTGGGGTCCACCACCACCTCGCAAAACGTGACAGTCACGTCGTCAAAAAGTAGATGCCTTCAAAGTTTGCAAATGAACCGCGCGGCGGGGAATAATCGATTGTCTTCTCCTTGAGAAAATAAAACACAAGTAGGTGCGATATGCCGAGCGGAAAGAGAAACCAGACAAATGAAAAAGGTCTTTCAGGACATCTAAAACTAATTCCTCGCCGATGTTGGGAAATGACATTGAGTGGTTGTACAGGCCTTAAAAAAAAAAAAAAAAAAAGATGCCCAACAGCTTGCTATAATTTGAAAACAACTCAAGGATGTAAGTAACCTTTGGGTCCACTTCAACGTTATTAAACGTATAAATCATGACAGACACTGAGAAAGGCACAAAGGGTTTGCCCCAGTGGGCAACCCGCATTGTTCCTCTTCTCTGAGCGCTTTATAGGAGCAGCTTCAGAGTGACTCGGAAGCATTTTGTCTGCCACCAAGTGAGGAGGTCCCAGGTTAGAAACTTTGCTTCTGCGCGGCGTTTGCAGGTTCTTCCCGTGCTCGCTTGGGTTATCTCCGGCTTCCTCCTGCATTCCCAAAACACCCATATAAAGTAGCGTGAAAAGTAGTGTTTGTTTTCTTTATGCGCCTTGTAAGTGCAGTCAACTGAACCTGATAGGCTGGGATAAAATTCCCATGATGCACTATGTTTCGTCAACGGGAACAGTGGCTGTGTCCAAATTCGCTGGCTGGGGCCTCCGAAGTGCCGCATTTTCGCCCGCATGACATCACCTCGAACTCGACCGCGCGTGGTGTCCGAATTCACCCGCCTGTCCAAATTCGGTTTACACGGTTCACGAGGGAGGAGCCTTCGAAGGCGTCGAAGGACCCAGCCTGCGAATCGCCTTTGTAGAATTGCGAAACCACGTGCGGCGGAGCCCCCGCCGGAAGTGACCAAAGCGTACGCGGCTTGTGAATGTGGACACAGCCAGAGTGTCATTGTATCATTCGTCTTCGTTGACAGATAAGCAAGGTCATTGAAATCCCCCCCCATAAGCTGTAAAATATCAAAGCTGGAATGACAGAAGAACGGTCGATGAATCATGGAATCCAACGACAATCATGTTGGAATATTGTGACATTGTTTGATAACTAACAGTAGCAGGGTTACTGGAAAGAGCCATCAAAGTGGCGGCAGAGCGCCTTAGGCCCAAGATTCACGGGAGGCGAGCGAACGAGAGAGGGAGATGGCGATAGAGAAACCGAGAGGGCTATAAATATTGCACCGGGCGTTTTACTACTTGGCAAAGGGAAGAGCTTCCTTCCCCTTCCCCCCCCCCCCCCCCCATACGTACAACCACTGATACTAAAAGGAGGTACAAACAAACAAACACACACACAGCGTGTTGTTCAGCCTTGTGTAATGTATCCCTGCTTAACCCTGTTGTTATTGCTGTTATCCGTGTAAAAAATAACCCTTAGCACTTTATTTTTATTCCATTTCTGAGCATAAAAAGTTTTTCGTGGTTTTTTTTTTTATACTTGAATTTTATTCTTAGGTCCTTGACACCTTTTTTTTTTTAAAGCAGGGGGTTGATAGGGCACACAGTGCGGAAGGGTGGAATAGAAAATGAGTGAAAAGAAAAAAAAAAAGATCATGTATCTCAAAGAAGTGCATCGGTGCATTGTTTGCGACCGCAATGTTGGCGTTGAACTGACCAAGACCGGTGAAGTCAGCGCTTGTGTCTAACGGAGGATCTATGAATCACGCCACAAGACGTTTGACACTGATGAGTTTGTGTCACGCGTCCGTGTGTCCTCTGTAGATTTTCCCCTCTGCATCATGCGGCCCTCAGCGGGAACATGGAACTTATTACACTGTTGCTGGAGTCACAGGCAGCTGTTGACATCAGAGACCAGAAAGGTAAGAGGAAAGCATTCAGACACGAGTACGCAAAAAAAAAAAAAAAAAAATCTTTTTACTCTTTGTGACAACACTTCCCTGCGTTTTTGTGCATTATACAGGTATGCGGCCACTGCACTACGCAGCCTGGCAGGGGAAGGCGGAGCCTATGAAGATGCTCCTCAAATCCGGTTCGTCGGTCAATGTCCAATCAGACGAAGGGCAGATTCCGCTCCACCTGTCGGCGCAGCACGGCCATTACGACGTGGTGAGTGACAGGTCAAGAATGCTCCTTCAAAGCGGTCTAAATGAGGTCAATTTTGAAGTCTACTCGCTGAACATGAACTTGTCCCACATTGATATGGACACCGCAACATCGGAAGGGTGTCAATTCTCGATCTAGCGTGTGTAATAGCATCGGTGCTGGTTGTCACATCATTCTCAAAGCAGGACTCAAGACAATTTTCTCATTCGATGCTAGTGAAGCAGGAAGCGCAACCGCAGCTTCTTAGGTGGAATCATTTCTCAGCCCAGATTTAAATATTTATCTCATAAAAAATGGCAGCGTTTATAAAAAAACAACTGTGTTCCCCTGCATTTTCCGAGGGATCATGAAAGTGGCTCCCAGCCTCAGGACTTCCCGTCAGCTGCTGAATACACATACACAGCTCCCGACGAAGGCTGAAGTGACAGCCGAAACTGTCAGCCAGGAACAAAAACAACCCTTAAACCGAATCGAAAATGTATGCATACCTTACAACGTCACGATGAGAGGTCTTTTGCGAATTTTGGCTTCCCAAGACAAGTGGTTGCAAGTGCTGTGCTCCATGCAGATGAATTACAGGATTAAAGTATGGACTTGCCCGGTATTTCCAACCGGATCTTTATCCCGTTTGATTTGGGGCACTGTTCATGTCCTGTAAATATGGATTGTTTCCAGTCTGAAATGCTACTGCAGCACCAGTCCAACCCCTGCATTGTGGATAACGCGGGCAAAACACCTCTGGACCTCGCCTGTGAGTTCGGCAGAGTTGGGGTATGTATGGAACTTGGCTTTTTAATCACGACTCACAAAATGGAAATCTCATCAGAAATAATGAGCAAACTTGTTGCTTTTCTCCTGTGGGCATTTATGCATGTTTGTTCCGTGTGTGTGTGTGTGTGTGTGTGTGTGTGTGTGTGTGTGTGTGTGTGTGTGTGTGTGTGTGTGTGTGTGCGGGTATGCAGGTTGTCCAATTATTGCTGTCGAGTAACATGTGCGCCGCTCTGCTGGAACCCAAGAAAGGAGATACCACGGATCCCAACGGCACGTCTCCTCTACATTTGGCTGCCAAGAATGGACACATTGACATAATTAGGTACAACACGTTCCTAAATACACACACACACACACACACACATGCATTTTCAATGTCTGTGTAACTCTGGACAGGAGGTTTGGAAACAACTGCTTAGAATGACAAAATGAAAAATCCTATGTAGCGCTTTCACAACAGTGTTTTGCATTTTCAATGTCTGTATAACAAACGGGAGGTTTGGAAACAACTGCTTAGAATGACAAAATGTTGAGCGGGTTAGCGCAGCAATCTGGCCCTTTCTTAATTCTCAGGAGGAACAAGCCTAGGAAAATATCAAAGGGGAGGAAACGATAAGTGAGAGTCTGCCTTTTTTTGGCGTTTTCAAGTGTGCTATTCACACGAAGCTCACCGTGCGCGGTATTTCTGTGATGCCTCTCGGGTTCTTGTCATCCTCTCTAATCCTCATATTCGCATGTTTTCCCATGCCCCTCCCCTCCCCACTCCCGCCGGCTCGGTCTCCACTCCGCGGGCAGACTGTTGATCCAGTCGGGAATCGACATCAACCGACAGACCAAAGCGGGCACTGCCCTGCATGAGGCGGCCCTCTGCGGCAAGACCGAGGCCGTCCGACTCCTGCTGGAAGTAAGTGGGACTTTGTTTCACTGGTTACTGGGTTCCGAGCTGGAGCGCTTGTCGGCATTAAGGTCTCTGGTGCGTTGGGGCTTTTGGATTTTTTTTCTTCTTTGGCTTTTGACTCAGCACCAAACTTGATTTTTAGTTTGACCGTTTTTGTGATTTCTACTGTCTTTGTTGTTGATTTACTGTTGTAGGAATTCTTTTTACCCTGCGTACAGCACTTTGCATATACCTGCGTTTTTTTTTTTTTTTTTTTGAAAGGGCTCCAGACATACCGTTGAGTTGAGATGCCGCGGTCGCGAGGGCACTTTGGGGGCATAACGGCCCGCTGATGAAAGGGGTTGTGCTAAAATTGAAGGCCCAGTAAACGTGCTCGGATGCAGAGCGCGAGCTTCAGCGGAGAGATTATGCAAATGGGGTATTTATGCTAGTGACATTAAAATGCCAAGCGGCTTATGGAAAAGAGGTGCCTGAAAAGGAACATATTCCATTTACAGCCCCGTCGGTGAGATGTTCATGATGATCTATCCTGGGGTATCTTGGGGCTTGAAATCATATTGATTCAACTGACTTCGTGTTATGTGAAAGCGCGACTGCTCTTTGGCCTTTGACTCGCTAGTTAAGTCATCAGTCGTTAAAACCCACCGCCTGACGATTTTAATGATGAAGGGACGCTTCGCTTGGTGGTTTTGAAACAACCGCTTCTGTTTTTCCGCCATGGAAATGCAATTGACTGCGAGCGATACAGTAAAATGGATCATGTGTTTGACATGTTTGTCTTTTTTTTTTTTTTTTTCTGTGTGCAGAGTGGTATCAACGCCACGGTACGAAACACCTATAGCCAGACTGCGCTGGACATCGTGTATCAGTTCACTGCAACCCAAGCCAGCAAAGAAATCAAGCAACTACTCCGGGGTACGGGATGAATGAATGGATGGATAGTTCTCTTAAGTCTTAGCTTCTCGGGATTTTGATTTTGCCTCCCAGACAAAAAAATGAAAGCCCAAATAACTCGCACAAACACGACCTGATTGCTCCATGGACACAGTTGAGGTGGCAAAATGGGACACTTACACAAGGCAGTACAGTAACTGACAAGTGCAATTCAGTGGTTTGGTCACGAAGCGCTGACTCCACAAGTGAAAATGCATTTCATTGTCTTAATGGGCATTCACTTTTTTTTTCCCCGAGTCCAAAAAAATAATGTTTTTGTGTTCCAGATGCGTCCGCGGCTCTTCAGGTTCGGGCTTTGAAAGACTACTGCAACAATTACGACTTAACCAGCCTCAACATCAAAGCGGGAGACGTCATCACGGTACAATGCAAAGTGACAAACGCGTGCACATACTTTAGTTCCTGATTGAGCACAGGCCCAATGCAATCCACTATAAAACAAAACAAACAAAAAAAAAAACCCCAAATAATAATAAATGAAGACACAAATTACACTGGCCCAGGGTAGTAATGAGACAGCGACTTTGTGGTTTACCCGTGACAAAATATTTAATGCTGGCACTGTGCCTCGGACAAACAAAAAGTGTCCGAGACGGATTCTTTAGCCTGAAACATTCGAAATTGAAAAGACAAAGCCTCACACTTTTCTTATAATTGACACATGGATGCGCAAACTGTGAAGACGCTGCATGTGGACGTGTGTTCTGAAATGTTATCCTTAAAAAAAAAAAAAAAACCTGTGCACTTGGAAATAACTGTACGAAATACTTTGGCCCGGGGGCAAATTACTGTTGGTGCGTTCATTCAAGCAATAAAAAGATGTGATTAGAATTAATGGACAGCAAGTTGTTGTTGTCCATGAGAGCTTGTGTTGGCTCCGCTGAGTAGAGAAACATTTTAATCCTTTAATTGAATCCATTCAACAAAGAGCATCTTTTCTTTCCATGCAGGGCTTGAGTTCAACATTTCAAATCCCATTGATTGTCTTGAGATGCTTACAATATGTCACTGAGAGAGCGGTTTCATGGAGAACGTTTTTGGGTTGATGAATACGCTCGAGGAAGAAGCGAATTCAGCATTTGTCATTTACTACGCATACTGAGAGAAACGAATTGACTGCCTACATTTAGTCTGCGGCACCATTCATGAATATTTAGGACCCCGAGAAGCCAAGCGGTGCCTGTTTTTCTTCCCCGAGGCTCTGAAGGAAGGCATCGGCTTTTAAAAGCTCTCATTCAACTGTTTGCATTTGAATGATGCCGTCTTCAAATTCCGAAGCCCTCCGAAAATGCTGACGACATGAGATGGGGGGGGGCCTTGAAAAAGCCTCGTTGTCACACGAGGCCAATTGGCCCACGGGCCACGCATATGTCAGGCAGGGGAATATCTGCACGTATCTGTTCGGAAAATACATTCAAGACACAACCGCTTTCGATATGCTTGTATGTCAACGTTGTTGTCCGGCAGGTGTTGGAGCAGCACCCCGATGGACGTTGGAAAGGCTGTATCCATGACAACCGAACCGGAAATGATAGGGTGGGCTACTTCCCCTCCACCATGGTGGAAGTCATCAGCAAACGAACAGGTAATGGGCGTCCGCGCCTGCCGCCACTTGAAATGAACTTGACCAAAAGCAGCCGCCCGAATGACATCGGGAAAGAGGACGCTGAAGAAAGGAGCTTTCCTTTTTCAAAGCAGAATTGTCAAGCACACGCACAGAAATGAAGACTTGAACATCTTGTCTCACAATTGTGGCGATATCGTCTCCCACGCGCTCAGCCTCGAGCTCACACCGCTGGTTCCCTTTTACAGAGGGAATCGATCACTGCAAAGTACCCGCCGAGTAACCAAAACTACCGCGTACTCTTTTGATTCAGCCCTCATGGCTGACACTTGGCACGCTCAACAATTACAAATTGAAAGAAGCTTAGACAAAAATAGCCAACGCAAAGACCGATCCAGAAGTATTCCAATCGATACCGTTACGATTCGATTGGAATATCTCGAGGCTCAAAAGTCATCACGGTGAACTGGTAGCCTTCTTCAAAGCAAAATGAAAGCTTCCAACGGCAAAACTGTTCCTTGGGGCTGCATGAACACCTGTGTGGCTCGAGCGACGCAAGGCAACATTTTTTTTTTTTGCCCCGCGGCGGCACAATTCGGAGATTCCGTACTCCGTCGCGGCGTCAGGAGAGGAAAATCGTGCCGCTTGCAAATGCGGATCAAAATGAAGTCCAGATCAAGCATCGGCTAATGCCGGTGCAATTGAAATGGGCCGCTGTTCCTTTTCAGTGACAGAACAGGTACGTACGTTGGCCAGGTGAGACGAACACAAGCACATTCCGGCTCCGGATCCATCGCATCATTTCACGGCACTTGACACGAGCTGGTGTCGGTTTCTAAATGTGTATTGGTGTTATTCCGTCAACGTGGTTGTTCCGTTTGTCGAGTTGCGTGTCCACGTGTTGCAGTCAATATGGATGTGTGCTGGTCTCCATCTCGGTTGGGTCACATGGTGTCCGCGATGCTCTCCCCTCCTCAGCATCATTCTCGCCTTTGACACCATCGCACTCGGGAACTCGACATTGTCAGTTGCGCTTCGTTCGTTCCGATCGGCAGGGTTAAAAAGGTGGCTTTTGGTTCTCGTTTTCGGCGTCGCATCTCGAGATCGGTGTCGGCGTTTGTTTGTCCCCTCTTCTCTCAAGTATCATGTGGCTCCATGAACTCCTTCCTCATTGTTTTTAGTCGTAACGTTAGCCTTCTTTGTTTATAATTTGTCCTTTTTTTTTTCCCTCCCTTTTCTTATGTTTCTTATGTCTCCCTTTTTGTCGTTTGTTTCGTGGCGGTGGTTCGCTGTTGTGTTTGTGTGTGTGTCGTCACGGTGGGTGTATCTAGGTTTGGCCAGCACAGTCATTTGCACTCAACAGTTTCAAAAGATACCGCTGGTTGCCCCGGCGACGGTTGCCCCCGCCAACGTGGTAGTCAACGGCAACGACACCACGTTCCATCAGATCCATATCCTGCCTCCACCGCCTCCTCCTCCACCACATTCCCATCAGCCACTGCTTCCACTTTTCACTTCCTTTGGCTATAACAGGTCGCCCGTGACAACCCCACAGGGAGACACCCCCACTGCCCCAGGTACACGCCCCCTTTTCACTATTATTACTATTATTCTTCTTCTTATTATTATTATTATTCAAACTTCAAGGGATGCTTTCCACCTCTCTCGCACAATGACGTGCTCAAAAAGCGAATTGGCGCCGAAAGATTCTCATGTGGACATTTTCGAAGAAGGCATCCTTTCAAGTTTTCTGTTGTTGATCATTCTTTGTGTGTTCTTCATACGGACTTGCTTTGCTTTTTGTTGATGCTGTTGTCATTTTCCATGATTGAAACCTGCATCATTATTTGACCAGACTCATGGTGTAGAAGCAAATTCCCCGGGCTTTCGGTCGCCAATTACAAAATCCATGATTGTTATCATCATCATCTTCATCAACATTATAACCAACACTATTGAAGATAGTCTGAACAAATAAACGGAAGTCAAAATGAAGAAAAAAAAAATTGTCGTCCTCGAAGCCATCTATTCTTGTCAACATGTTTCTATCCACGCATGTGGGTCAAGAGCAAGGCACGCCCCCTATCCTGGCTAGTCTGAAAATCAATCAAAGTGACGAGTCGTCATTTTCCATCCTCGAAAATCAATCAATCAAAGTGACGAGTCGTCATTTTCCATCCTCCGGCTCATTTTGATTTGAATCATTATTTAATGTTCAGTATCATCGAATTATGAAATGATGTTTGTCACGGTGGCACTTTGGTCGACTAGCTAGCACATCGGCATCAGAGTGCAGAGGTGCATAGTTGATTCTGTCTTCCTGTGTGGAGAAAGGTATCGTGAGGAAGTTGTTGACAGAGCAAAAGGATTTTCCCGTTGAATCCTGCAGGGCACACACACACACACACACACAGAGCGTCAGACTAAGAACATTTGCAGAAAGCAGTCAATCGCCTTCTCAATTGTCCCGCACGACTCCAATCAATTCATCATTGAGGTCTTTTGATGGACATCGCTTGGAGGGATGCAAAATGGCTACATGAAGGAGCCGTGTGAATTCATGAAGGCGGGAACAAAAGAAAAAGGAACGTGTGCAACTTGTTTGTATCTCTGGAGCGCCTGTCGGTGACACATTGAAACCATTCATAAGCTATTCAGATGGTCGGAATGGTTTATGACGCTCTCCAAATGCACTTATAGGAGCCTCATTTTGAAAAGGCCCACATATATAATCACAAATCGATGGCTGTATTATATATGGGTGTGTATGTACATGACGGCACGTGTGTATATACACGGAAAATCACGTTATGGATTTTCTTATGTACAATGGTTTTATACATGTTTTCATATATATATATTCTGTATTTTTTTCTGTGTTTGTGTGTGAGTGTGTACTGAGAGTGTGTGTGTGTGTGTGTGTGTGTGTGTGTGTGTGTGTGTGTCTGTGTGTGTGAGAGAGTATTTCTCAAAATATTTCCATCAGAACAGAGCACAGAAACTTAAGTCGGAGCTGACTGAACAGTTTAAAAAAAAAAAAAAAAAAGACCGTGATAAGGATCGGTTTTAATTTTATTCGTAGGCAGAGTATATTAATGTTTTTTTTTTGTTGTTGTTGTTGTCAAATATGAACTAACAAGCACGTTTGCAATAGTCCCCCCCACCCTCCAAAAAAAAAAAAGAAAAACAGTCACTGTTAAATGCAGCGATTGAAATGCACTTATTGCATGTCAATGCTCATTTACTTTATCAATGAAAAATATATAATCCATAATAATGACATACCAGTCCAGTGTAAGAGTTTTCATTCCCTTTCCTTGCCGATTGGCCTTCTGGTAAGGTGCGTGCCGTTCAGTCTGACTCTGGTTTGTGCTACCAAATATGGTTCCTTGATACTTAAAAAAGTATTTACGTTCGACAGTCCAACACCAAAAGCTTTTTTTTTAACTCTTATCGCAAAACCACCAGAAAGTATCCTGCCATTCCCCGTTTTTATGTTCTGGTCCTGACATTGTCACTAACCTAATTCAAAAGAACTCTTATCATTGCAAAACCACCAGAAAGTATCCTGCCATTCACCGTTTTTATATTCTGGTCCTGACATTGTCACTAACCTAATTCAAAACAGCTACTAAGGACCAATTTAAAAGCTTCAATAAACCTTCAATAAGCCTTCACGTTTTTTTTTGTTTTTTCAGGTTTCAGTGAAGCCCTTAATAGAGTCACAAGGATGTATTTGCCACGTGGGCAAAAACGCCCGCACATGATGGCGAATATTGTTCCACGTGGGGTTGTAAAAGACAAAACGACAACTAAAACAACTCATAAAGCTCATCACTCAAAACGTTTGCCAACCTGACACCCAAGTCTCTGTGAAACAACTGGCAAATCCAGCCAACGGTCTCCAGGCTAATTTGAGCCCAGCTAGCAGCTAACGCTAGTGTCCTGTGTTGAAGGTTGCCGCGGTTCAGAGGCAAGTCCTCACGGTTCCCCCACCACCTCCTGTGGGCCCCACGGAGGCTCCAATGAAGATATCTGGGTACTGCGCAAGCCTGTGGCAGGTAACTGAGCCGCGCTGCGCTGAGCCCTCCGATTCTTCTAACCCCTTAAACCAGGCATCAAACAGTATCTGGTGTCCCTTCAAAAAAAAAAAAAAATTCCAAAGGAAAGCCTCCGTCCGGTCACTGTGTAAAAAAGGAAAAAAAAATGATGCGGCTCTTGAAAGGTCATCAGATACTCTTTGACCTGCGAGAAATCATGTTCCGCTGTCCTTTCATCTCAAGCTTAGCCGAACTCGCTGACCTTGATGTCTGCGGACGGCAGCCGTACGCATTGGTCTGTGGCTTGTGTGTATGTATGGAGGCCGAGGAAGCCAGAAAACCAGAACCGAAAGAGCGCAGTGTAGCGTGTGCGTGTGCGTACCATGAGAAGTGTGTCTTTTTCACTCCGCTTCACTCAGCTGTCCCCGTCCCGTCCATCCCATCTCATGCTGCCTAGTGCATTTCAAAGGAGAGTCACCATTTATCACTTTGTCTCGGATATCAGCTCAATGCGTGCGTGCGTGCGCGCCAATGCATCCATTTTTGGTGTTGCATCCACGCATTTGCGTGCAATAATGTCGTTTTGGCTGTGGGTGCATGCATATGAATGCATATCCGTCCCTGTGTGTGTTTGTCTGTTGTGTCTGCGGGTGCGTTGCAGGTGGAGACCGCAGCAGTTTAGGGAGTTCTGGCAGCGTGACCAGCGTGAGGTCATCAGGCAGTGGTCAGAGTGCTGGAAGCGCCGCACACATCCTCCATGCACAGGCCGAAGGGGTGAAGGTAGGATGCGCATTTTCACTTCTTTATGCCGTCTTTGTATACGAGGGGGGGAGGGGGGGGTGGAATATAGGCAGCCTAAAACCCTCAACGGAACACCCCGACTTCAATTCTTTGCTCGTGAACGCTTTTAAATGTGACATTTTTCATAAAAAAAAAAATCAAATCAAATAAATAAATAATAAGAGTGAGTCCAAATGAATGCTATTGATGCTCCAGGCTTTCGCCGTGATGGCTTCATGAACAGCAGGGCATGCAAAAGTGGTGCATACTCACTTCAGATTGACACAAATGAGTCGATTACAAATACAATTGTGGAATACGGTCCTGGACGGACAAAGAAAAAAAAGACTGGGAACATCTGTCTGCAGGCGCAACTCCCACATGAACTCAGCCACGAACGACGCAGGCCACATTTTGGGGGCACGCGGTGAATACACATTGGATATAAAAACACAGTATGCTGAAGAGGGTCAGAAGGAAATCAAGTGTCGAGTCCAACTGATTGATTCGTCCATGATGTACAATGTACTCATTTGAAACAAAGAGTAAAAGTAGTACAGACGGTATGCCGTCATAGATTATTTGCTGTCAAGAGCTCATCCATGCTGACCTGTGTGCACATCTGTTTTGTTTGTTTGTGTGCATGACGACAGCTTCTCGCCACAGTCTTGTCTCAATCCGCCAAAGCCAAGGAACATTTACTGGAGCAGTCCAAGTCTGTCGACCAGCCCGCAGGTAATACCATCAAGATCGCAGCCACGATGCTCGCTGTTTTGCTGGTTTGACCGAACGCTGCCTTTTTTTCCAGCCAGAGCCCTCAAATTTTGGGCATCTTGGCTCAGGGAGGGCAAAATGACTGACCGACACTTCACTCATTGAAGTGTTGTTCGAGCATTACTTGAAAATGGATCGACCTGATTTGAAAGTAAGGTCCAACAATTAAATGTTTGGAGGAAATCAGGCACGACGCATCACTTGGCCATGACGGCGCCGACAGTCGGTTACAGTGGCGCCAACTGCCCATTTCTACCCGTGCGCGCCTACGATGATCCCAAAAGAAAGTCAACTCCACCCGTGCGCAGAGTTAGACTGCACCAAAACAGCGCATCATCTTTATTCACTGTGACTTCACTTCTCCGGGTGTTCCCTTTCTATCGATAGTCGGCTTGTCAAAGACAAATAAAAGCTTCAATAAACCTTCAATAAGCCTTCACGTTTTTTTTTGTTTTTTCAGGTTTCAGTGAAGCCCTTAGAAAAGTTTCAATAAACCTTCAATAAGTCTCCACGTTTTTTTTGTTTTTTCAGGTTTCAGTGAAGCCCTTAATAGAGTCACAAGGATGTATTTGCCACGTGGGCAAAAACGCCCGCACATGATGGCGAATATTGTTCCACGTGGGGTTGTAAAAGACAAAACGACAACTAAAACAACTCATAAAGCTCATCACTCAAAACGTTTGCCAACCTGACACCCAAGTCTCTGTGAAACAACTGGCAAATCCAGCCAACGGTCTCCAGGCTAATTTGAGCCCAGCTAGCAGCTAACGCTAGTGTCCTGTGTTGAAGGTTGCCGCGGTTCAGAGGCAAGTCCTCACGGTTCCCCCACCACCTCCTGTGGGCCCCACGGAGGCTCCAATGAAGATATCTGGGTACTGCGCAAGCCTGTGGCAGGGAAATGAGCCGCGCTGCGCTGAGCCCTCCGATTCTTCTAACCCCTTAAAACAGGCATCAAACAGTATCTGGTGTCCGTTCAAAAAAAAAAATTCCAAAGGAAAGCCTCCGTCCGGTCACTGTGTTAAAAAAAGGAAAAAAATGATGCGGCTCTTGAAAGGTCATCAGATACTCTTTGACCTGCGAGAAATCATGTTCCGCTGTCCTTTCATCTCAAGCTTAGCCGAACTCGCTGACCTTGATGTCTGCGGACGGCAGCCGTACGCATTGGTCTGTGGCTTGTGTGTATGTATGGAGGCCGAGGAAGCCAGAAAACCAGAACCGAAAGAGCGCAGTGTAGCGTGTGCGTGTGCGTACCATGAGAAGTGTGTCTTTTTCACTCCGCTTCACTCAGCTGTCCCCGTCCGGTCCATCCCATCTCATGCTGCCTAGTGCATTTCAAAGGAGAGTCACCATTTATCACTCTGTCTCGGATATCAGCTCAATGCGTGCGTGCGTGCGCGCCAATGCATCCATTTTTGGTGTTGCATCCACGCATTTGCGTGCAATAATGTCGTTTTGGCTGTGGGTGCATGCATATGAATGCATATCCGTCCCTGTGTGTGTTTGTCTGTTGTGTCTGCGGGTGCGTTGCAGGTGGAGACCGCAGCAGTTTAGGGAGTTCTGGCAGCGTGACCAGCGTGAGGTCATCAGGCAGTGGTCAGAGTGCTGGAAGCGCCGCACACATCCTCCATGCACAGGCCGAAGGGGTGAAGGTAGGATGCGCATTTTCACTTCTTTATGCCGTCTTTGTATACGAGGGGGGGAGGGGGGGGTGGAATATAGGCAGCCTAAAACCCTCAACGGAACACCCCGACTTCAATTCTTTGCTCGTGAACGCTTTTAAATGTGACATTTTTCATAAAAAAAAAAATCAAATCAAATAAATAAATAATAAGAGTGAGTCCAAATGAATGCTATTGATGCTCCAGGCTTTCGCCGTGATGGCTTCATGAACAGCAGGGCATGCAAAAGTGGTGCATACTCACTTCAGATTGACACAAATGAGTCGATTACAAATACAATTGTGGAATACGGTCCTGGACGGACAAAGAAAAAAAAGACTGGGAACATCTGTCTGCAGGCGCAACTCCCACATGAACTCAGCCACGAACGACGCAGGCCACATTTTGGGGGCACGCGGTGAATACACATTGGATATAAAAACACAGTATGCTGAAGAGGGTCAGAAGGAAATCAAGTGTCGAGTCCAACTGATTGATTCGTCCATGATGTACAATGTACTCATTTGAAACAAAGAGTAAAAGTAGTACAGACGGTATGCCGTCATAGATTATTTGCTGTCAAGAGCTCATCCATGCTGACCTGTGTGCACATCTGTTTTGTTTGTTTGTGTGCATGACGACAGCTTCTCGCCACAGTCTTGTCTCAATCCGCCAAAGCCAAGGAACATTTACTGGAGCAGTCCAAGTCTGTCGACCAGCCCGCAGGTAATACCATCAAGATCGCAGCCACGATGCTCGCTGTTTTGCTGGTTTGACCGAACGCTGCCTTTTTTTCCAGCCAGAGCCCTCAAATTTTGGGCATCTTGGCTCAGGGAGGGCAAAATGACTGACCGACACTTCACTCATTGAAGTGTTGTTCGAGCATTACTTGAAAATGGATCGACCTGATTTGAAAGTAAGGTCCAACAATTAAATGTTTGGAGGAAATCAGGCACGACGCATCACTTGGCCATGACGGCGCCGACAGTCGGTTACAGTGGCGCCAACTGCCCATTTCTACCCGTGCGCGCCTACGATGATCCCAAAAGAAAGTCAACTCCACCCGTGCGCAGAGTTAGACTGCACCAAAACAGCGCATCATCTTTATTCACTGTGACTTCACTTCTCCGGGTGTTCCCTTTCTATCGATAGTCGGCTTGTCAAAGACAAATAAAAGACGGGAAACTGAGATAAGTGCACTTCTTTTTGAACATGTCAAATTCTCGAAACATCAAACATCAAAAATGCAACTCGGACAAAAGCGACACAAAGGTTCTGTGAAACAATTGTTTTTTTTTTTGTTTGTTTTTTTTGCCCGTGTTATGTAAGCGGCGAGAAAAACGAGGGAGGCGTGTGAAATGGAGAACAAGCGAGGGAGAGTCAAGTTACAAAAAAAAAAAGAAGCAGCAATAATATTCTTCTGCTCTTTTCAGAACTCGCTTTGTGTCTTCTATATACACCGAAAGACAGCAACAAACATAAATACCCTCACCTTGGCTTGTTTTACAGACAGATGGCCAAGGCAGGGCAACGTAGGAGGGGAGAGTAAGGAAGCGATTGGGTGACGAGCCGGCAATCTGACTGCTTGCTTGTCAAACACTAACTCCGATTGGCAATCGGCCTATGTTGGCATTTAGCGCCACCCGTAAAAGCGTCTGTCGCTTGATGCTCGTTTCCGATGGTCGGGTGAGATTTTGAACCCGGCCGCTCGTCTCTCTCTCTCTCCCAGTAGGTTCCGTCGCTTCTTCTCGGACATCGAGCCTATCGGGCTGCCCTCTCCACGAAGCGCCGCCTTATGATGCCGCAGCCAACAGGAAGGGGGAGGCGCCAGGCGAGGGGAAGGTAGGATCATCCCAAAGTCCAGACCGATTCGCTCTTCTCTCCCTCTTTCATACAAACACACACACACACCACAATGAGCGGCAGGAGGACCACGTAGCCCCTCAGTCCAACTGAACCCTCACTTCAACGCTGACACACACACCCGCACACGTCAACATGTCCCAGCGCTTTCTCTCACAACTGGCCTCCTCCGCGCTGCGAGTGTTCGGATGCGGCCGTGATACGGTGAGTGGCTCCGCGACACGTGAAGCCGTGTGACGCGTGCATGTGAACGATCCCGCGCTCTTCTTTTTGGTTATCCTCCCCATTGATTTTGATTTTTCATCCACTCCCTTTTAGTTGAAGCTTCCGGTTTTTCTTTGCAGCAATGTACATATTTTACCGACATGGGTGTAGCCGACGAGCAGCGTGGGCACATTAGTTCGCCACAAGAGGTGCGAAATGGGAGTTTACAACGTGTGCGGTGAGCTGTCATTTACTGAAGAGCGCGTTTGGGCTCACGTTGAAGGTCACGAGTTGTTTTGTAATGATGTGAAGGTGGCACGCCAACGTGATCTTGTAGCAGAGATATAATAACCTGGCTCTTGTAAATTGTTGGGTCATGTGGGCATGAGTGCTGTGTTTGTATGTGTGAGGATGTGTCATGTTCTTGGGACCATCTGTTAGCACAGTACCGAAAAATGTAGTCGGCCTCAGTATTCGGCGTTTCGTGATTTGGCAGGCCTATCGAAGTTCCCCATAATAATTCATGGAGGAAAAGATGAAATAAAATGCAAAATGAACTCTACCAAGAATGCTCAAAAATGAAATGAAATAAAATGGCTCTTATTCTTCATTTTTGACTCATCCATGGTCTTCAAAAAAAAAAAAAAAAAAGCTGTATGAACAAAACACTTGGAGCCACAGGCTGCTGTCACTGTCAAAAGATTTCATACTTCATGTTTATCGTACATGAAAAAGATGAGCGAAAAACACAGTGTCTGTTTTGATCAACGGAGCCGAGCAACGGCAAATGTTTTCACTCGCTCGTCAATCGGCGGAATGGGATTTTCCACTTTGCGTGCGTTGAGGATCTCAGCATCGACGTGGTGTCAGGACAGGTCTTGGTTGCGCTCGGTGGCCCGTGCGCCGCAACTTGGCCCCGCAGAGAGAAAGTGGCTGACGTGGAAGCAGTGACAGTTGCCCTCCTTATCTTCTCTCCTGTAGAGCTCAGAGGCAGTTGTCCAATGGCTGAGCGACTTTCAGCTGCAGGTCTACGCTCCCAACTTCCTGGGCGCTGGGTATGACTTGCCCACAATTAGCCGAATGACCCCCGAGGTAAGGCAACCGGACCCCCGGCGGCCGCCGCAGGATCCTCCGAGGGCCGCGACCTCCACAAGTCTGCGCAGATTTGATTTGTGGCGCCCTCATAGTTTGCGATGATGCATGCCAAACCCCTCTCGTCTCAAATCTGCGCAATTCGATGACTCCAATGTGCCTCTTGCCAAGCCTGCCCCGGTGTAACCCTTGTCATGTTGACCCCGGTCTTGACCTGCATCTCTCGCTGACCCTTGGTTGTCTTTTGTCGTCAACTGCACCAAACAGTTTCTTTCATCGTACGACGGCATGCTATACCGGAGAAAGTCACCGTAAGGTTTAATTGTACGGCATCTTGGTCGTTGGAAGTGTTTGATGTCAAAGAGCGATTGGTCAGATGTTCCCAGTAGACCCTCACAAGACGTTCGGGGCTGCCAGGCCTAGACCGGCATCTTCCCCCTCTTCCCACGGTCCACTTTGATAGTCGGGGATTCCACCGTCAGCCACTGTCCCAGTACTCCTGGATAAACTCTCGTATGGCGGTCTACGTCGGGATGAACGATGTTTCGGAGCTCACAAAATTCCAATTTTGCGGGCCTTTTTAAACCAGTGGAAAGTCTGTTTTTTTAATTTCGGGTTCGATTCGAACATTTGGCCGAGGATTGGACAGCTTCGGCAGGATCCTTCAGCTCACGACCTGGTTTCAGCGCACCTGCTCCAAACATGACTTTGGATTGATTGACAGCAGGCTGGCTAGCCGTGTGCTAGTAGCTCCCATCCTATAAGTTGTCCGAACTCTCTCATGATAGACCGTTTGCCGTCCACTCTCCTCACTCAACAGACACTTCCTCACCTTCATTAAAAATGACATCCCTGAGCACTGCCTCCCCCGTCAGCTCCCTCTGGTGTCCGCAATTGATAGGATCTCACACTCCCGCACCTGCGCTAATGACTAAGAAGCATTACCATACATTCCATCATTTCCGGTGCCCGCAGCCTGTGTTAAAAAACAAAACAAAACAAAAAAACATCTTCTTAGTTTGCAATGCCGGTCCTAGATCTCTCAAGCTGATCTTTGCTGAACGCTCGCTCGGTTTCCAACAAATCCTTTTATTCTCAACGACTTTTTCATCACTCAGGATTGAGATTGACAGCTTTTCATTGAGACCTGGCAAAGGGATGAAGAATATGTGTCCCTGAAGGAGCTGTGCCCACCCGATTGCTCATTCATACGTGCCCCGAGGGTCACTGGCCACGGTGGTGGCCTAGTTCCGTTGCTCACAGTTTTAGTCTGAATGCTGGGTGATTCCAACGTGCCCGGAAATGATACCACAAACAGTTTCGTTGATCACTTTAAATCTCACTGAATCGTTTCATGTTTCTCAACATGTCGCTAAGTGAACCGCACTCGATCCCGCTCTGAATTTTGGGCCAATCATTTAAAAAAAACGGGAAAGATGAAACTCGGACTAAAACCGCGTCGTCGTCGATTGGCGGGGCGAGCAGCCCGATGGTTAGTCCACCGCTGCAAAGGAGGATGTATTGTCTGTCCTGTGCAGAGCATAGGGAGCCTCACCTTCCGAGAGTGTGTGCGCATGCGTGCACGTGTCTGAGTGTGCGTGCGCGCTTTTAATATTGCTGTTTGTCATTATTTCTTGTGCCCACTGCCCAGCTCAGTGATCCAACTACATCCCCAAATGACGAGAAGTGGTTGCTGTTGAATTGATACATTTGATTATAGCGCCAAGGCATATGCAATGCCCAGATATCGATTCGAGTGGAGGTTTTTCAACATGATAAACATCCATTTTTCAATCTTTTCTCTTTTACTGACATTTGCTCTCGCCTTCCATGCATTTTTTTTTCTTCTCCTCCTGCTCACCCTCCTTTTCAGCCTCTTTCTTTTGCAGCTATTTTTTGCCGCGTGTGTGCGTGTGGATGTGATAATGAAAGCCGGTGCGTGTCAATGCCGTATATATCACCTCAGTGTGTTTTGTGTTTGTAGGATCTGGCAGCCATTGGAATTACTAAACCAGGTCACAGAAAGAAGATGACAACAGAGATCAGTAAACTGAGCGTCACAGAGTGGCTGCCTGAACAGAAACCTGTGAGTACACACACACACACAATATATAAATTGAAATAGTTTTCTGCTAACGTATATCATGGAGACTGAATACACAAAACCGCTGTGTTCTTTTCCCAAACGGTGTGCCGTCCAATTTGTTTTTCATAATCCTGCAGGCCAGTCTCGGAGAATGGTTATGCGCTATTGGTCTGAGTCAGTACCACCAAGTATTGGTGCAGAATGGTTACGAGAACATCGACTTCATCACAGACATCACTTGGGAGGATCTACAGGAAATTGGCATCACTAAACTGGGTAAGATACACTGAATACATCTTGTAAATGCATGACGATGTACTTTTCAGTCTTATCGAAGAATTGCATGTCGCCATAACCATGGGGCTTGCGTTTCAAGGGTCATTATTTATGAAAACAATTCGGCCTACGTTTAAACAAACACAATATGCTTATTGATGTGGTTACTTCAAAATAAGAAATGTTATGTCATTGTAACATAATCTAGACGTATACCCACACATATACACAATTTTGAACTTGCAGGGATAGTGACAGCTCATTAGTAAACTTAGATTAGCCAATGTACACAAACTGTTTTTTTTTTTTTTTTTTTTACCACTGATACCCAATATCAGTTTGATAGTCTGTCTGCTCCCCAGTTTCATTCGAACCTGTCAATGTTTTAGGCCACCAGAAGAAGCTGATGTTGGCAGTGAAGCGACTAGCCGAAATGCAGCGCAACTCCGATGGACGCGGTTCCCTCAGAAAGAAACCCCCGCCAATCACGCAGCAGCAGGAAGTGATGTCAGTGGAAAGCCCACCGCCAGATGGTGAGTTAACAGGTGATCTGTAGAAAAAAATGGGTGAACCTTTTCTATTTACGGTCGAGAAATTAGCATGCAAAGTGGTTAAAAGTGCTATGTTTCCAGAAAAAAAAAAAAAAGTCCCCTTTCGTCTGTCTAGATGCGATGTCTCCAAAAATGAGCACCTTCCAGGACAGCGAGTTGAGTAGCGAGCTGCAGAATGCCATGACCCATTCAGCTCAGGAGGTCAAAGCGCAGCCAACGCGCAGTCTCAACAAGGATCCCGATGAGTTCAACTCCGGAGGAGCCGGACCGCCGAAGAAGGAGGCGAGAACAATGAGGCAGCAAAGCTGTCAAGGAAGCGCCTCCTCCCACAGAAGCGGCGTGTCCTCTCAAGGCAAACACCGTCACTCCCACTCTCACTCTCAGCCCGCCCCTCCCTACACGCCGCCCCACACCCCAACCAAGACCAGGACGTCATCATCGTCTTCCGCCTCCTCTGTCCAGAGCACGTCCTCTCCCCAGTCCAAACACAGGGTGTCCCCCCAGTTCACGCAAGGGGAAACGCCTCCGCCGCCGCGCTCACACCCTCCTCAGTCTCCGAACCATCGTGGCGCTCCGGTCCAGTCGCCCCAGCAGAATCGAATCCACCATCAGAACCAGCCGCACGAGATGGGGGATTGTGCGCAACCGCCGGCGCCGCTGCTCCGCCTCCCGCCCGAGGATGAGCTTGCAGATGGCGATGAAGCGGATCCCTCCGTGCTCCAGAAGAAACGGGCCAACAGTCTCAACCGGCATGCCGCGTCAGATGGCGAGTGTGACGAAAGGACGACGGCCGGAAAAGGACGGCCTGGGGAAGGGCAGACCGCCGCGGGCCAAAGCTCAAATGTTAGAGCAGAAGGCGGTAAATATGCCACGGTCACCCACCGCGTCGGCCGCAGCCACTCTGTCCGCAACCAGGACAAAACCGTTAGTCGCAATCAGCCGCAGTCCATCACTCTGCGCCAGAAGAAAAAAGGGCCTCCCCCGCCACCTCCCAAACGCTCCAGCTCGGCCATTTCAACCTCGAACTCCAACCTCGCGGAAGGGAGCGCGCCACTGCAAGTGCCGACGACCACCGACGGCATGCTGGATGTGCCTTACCACCAACAACGGCGGGCCAGCGACTTGGGGGTTTCCGTTGAAACGGGAGCCGTGGACACAAACAGCATGGGAAGCGTGAGGAGCATTGCCGCCATGCTGGAAATGTCTTCTATAGGGGGCGGAGCCAAAGGGATGGCCCTGCAAAAGAACTTCCTGCAGGTACGAAGGTCGTATATGATCGAGAGTCCACGAGCGTGTGATGACGCGGTGACCGACGTTAAGCTTCTGTTGAATTTTCAGGCGGGGAAAACACGTGAAACCATCGGTCTGGACGGTGAAGTCGTGAACCGACGACGGACCATTAGCGGGCCCGTCACTGAGCTCGTGGCAGCCGCGAGGCGCGACCAGCCGACACTGTCTGTCGTCTCCCAGCCTGAATCCTCCCCGCCCCCTGTAACGTCATCCTCCCCCAATCCAAGCCCCGGAGCAAGTGGGAGTTCTTCGGAAAACCTGCCGTTTGCGGAGGAGGGAAGCCTGACTATTCGCCGACAAGGTCGAGGAGAAGGACAGGTAGCTATCTATATATACATATATATATATATGTGTTTGTTACCTGTCTGTCTCTCCATCGATTGATCTATCTATTTATCTATCTAGCTAGCTAGCTAACCATCTACATCAGGCAGTGAACCCTGCTATTGGTTGGGGCTGAGAACAGAGCCCTGTGGCGAATATTGAAAATGTGCAAAATATGAATACCCGCCCTAAATAAAGTTTATAATTGCGCACGGATGGCGAAAGATGGCACTTCAAACGGAGAGGACCATAAAGCATTAACATCTAGAACATACACAATCATAAATCAAATTCCATCCACAACTTTATTTCGTGGTAAAATTATTCAACACAAACAAACCACCTTCATATGACTCATTTAGCATTGGCTAACATACTAGCCTAAATAACATACACCCACAAACAGGGCATTTAAACGCACGCACACAAAAAAAAGCCCACGACGAATTAAATCAAACGACAAAATCAAGATTGCACCAGATGGCGCCAAAGTAATTATTTGACTGCTTTGGCTTGAGAACGAAAAAAAGCTAATCGCTTTTCGGGGAATGACAGGATAGGTCCCAAGAAAAAAACAGCCAATGTGCGGGGGGGGCTCACTGTTCCATTGATGTGATGTTTGAAATCAGCAGACGTTTTCCATGTTGTCAGGTTTAAAACCACAAGACTTTATCAATGTTGTAATGTTTAAACTCGACAGATTTTCTGTGTTGTAATAATCACCAGATTTTGTTCACATTTATCAACGTGGGTGTTTTGACTGTGCAAAAATGACCTCTTGCCACGAATGTATGAATTTTCCGTTAGTGTGTATTTTGTGTCTGTCTGCAGAGCGACGGCGAGGGACCGCAGAGAGACGCCACCAGGTACACTCAGGAAGACATCTCCCGGGTGGAAGCCACGGCAACCTTAAAGCGCCGGCCCCGCAGCTCCAAGACCCACCCCAACGGCTCCGGCTTCACCCTCCAGGAGTCGTCCACCGTCAAACGCAGACCCAAGAGTCGCGACAAGGAACCGGAGGGATACGCGGACCTTGCGGGACCGAATGGAGATCCCCTGGGTCGCGAGCCGCCCAACACCACGCAACCGCTACCTTACCAGAACGGCACGGCCACCGTGAAGCGCCGGCCCGTTTCTGACGTCGGAGTGACGGAGCAACCGCAACCGCAGCCCCAACCGCAATGTCAACCACAAACTCAACCGCAAGATTATCCGCAATCGCAAGCGACTGCTGCTTCTCAAAGGGACTCTTTGGACAAAGGAGTTCCTGTGGGCAGTGAAGAAGCGCCATTGAAAAAACCAAAGCCGCCGGTCTCCCCGAAGCCAGCCGTGGCGCAGATCAAGAGACAAGGAGTCCCGCAGAACAGCCCGCAGCCAGCCTCTAGCAAAAGAGTGCCTCTACCAGGACCGGGCACGCCTGGCAGCCCAGGTATGAGTTTGTGTGTCTGTGCGCGTGTGGCAGCGGGTCAGGATGTGAAGCACCGCCCAGATATTTTGCATGAAAGGATGGCAAAATATGCCGTCACATACAGAAGGTGTCGTTAGGGTTTAGATTGGAGGTGCACTTGGGCAAAGCTCCATTCGAACAAAGGTTGGGTCAAAATTAAGCCAAGATGGGTCAAGAAGGGACTGGCCCAACTTTTGGGGTTTTTCATTTCATTCAAAAAGTTGGGTCAATTGAACGGCCCGCGAAAAAACCCAATCTCACTGACAAAAGCGGACAAAAAAACCAAAAAAGACTTCGGCATATGCTGAGAAACCGTGGATCGTTAACGTTGGTAGCGCTGCAACGTTGTTTGCACAATTGGCTGTCATGTAATATTTCTATCGTCGTGATTCGGAATTTCCAGGACAGACACTTTCCCCACACACGGAGCTTTCAGCGTGACATCTGAAGCACATGTGCCGTGTTACTTCATCCATGTCCTCATTTGATAGAAACTAGAACACACCGTGAACTTTAGTCCTTAATTAAAGCCCCCTGGGGACTGAACAGACTTCCGTGCTGACCTCTTGCTCTCTCACAATTGGCTGTCATGTAATATTTCTATCGTCGTGATTCGGAATTTCCAGGACAGACACTTTCCCCACACACGGAGCTTTCAGCGTGACATCTGAAGCACATGTGCCGTGTTACTTCATCCATGTCCTCATTTGATAGAAACTAGAACACACCGTGAACTTTAGTCCTTAATTAAAGCCCCCTGGGGACTGAACAGACTTCCGTGCTGACCTCTTGCTCTCTCTCGTCTTCTCAAGTGGAAGGAAAAAAGATCCCTCCTCCAGTCTCACCACAACCCGCCCCGCCACCCATTGTTCACATTTATCAACGTGGGTGTTTTGACTGTGCAAAAATGACCTCTTGCCACGAATGTATGAATTTTCCGTTAGTGTGTATTTTGTGTCTGTCTGCAGAGCGACGGCGAGGGACCGCAGAGAGACGCCACCAGGTACACTCAGGAAGACATCTCCCGGGTGGAAGCCACGGCAACCTTAAAGCGCCGGCCCCGCAGCTCCAAGACCCACCCCAACGGCTCCGGCTTCACCCTCCAGGAGTCGTCCACCGTCAAACGCAGACCCAAGAGTCGCGACAAGGAACCGGAGGGATACGCGGACCTTGCGGGACCGAATGGAGATCCCCTGGGTCGCGAGCCGCCCAACACCACGCAACCGCTACCTTACCAGAACGGCACGGCCACCGTGAAGCGCCGGCCCGTTTCTGACGTCGGAGTGACGGAGCAACCGCAACCGCAGCCCCAACCGCAATGTCAACCACAAACTCAACCGCAAGATTATCCGCAATCGCAAGCGACTGCTGCTTCTCAAAGGGACTCTTTGGACAAAGGAGTTCCTGTGGGCAGTGAAGAAGCGCCATTGAAAAAACCAAAGCCGCCGGTCTCCCCGAAGCCAGCCGTGGCGCAGATCAAGAGACAAGGAGTCCCGCAGAACAGCCCGCAGCCAGCCTCTAGCAAAAGAGTGCCTCTACCAGGACCGGGCACGCCTGGCAGCCCAGGTATGAGTTTGTGTGTCTGTGCGCGTGTGGCAGCGGGTCAGGATGTGAAACACCGCCCAGATATTTTGCATGAAAGGATGGCAAAATATGCCGTCACATACAGAAGGTGTCGTTAGGGTTTAGATTGGAGGTGCACTTGGGCAAAGCTCCATTCGAACAAAGGTTGGGTCAAAATTAAGCCAAGATGGGTCAAGAAGGGACTGGCCCAACTTTTGGGGTTTTTCATTTCATTCAAAAAGTTGGGTCAATTGAACGGCCCGCGAAAAAACCCAATCTCACTGACAAAAGCGGACAAAAAAACCAAAAAAGACTTCGGCATATGCTGAGAAACCGTGGATCGTTAACGTTGGTAGCGCTGCAACGTTGTTTGCACAATTGGCTGTCATGTAATATTTCTATCGTCGTGATTCGGAATTTCCAGGACAGACACTTTCCCCACACACGGAGCTTTCAGCGTGACATCTGAAGCACATGTGCCGTGTTACTTCATCCATGTCCTCATTTGATAGAAACTAGAACACACCGTGAACTTTAGTCCTTAATTAAAGCCCCCTGGGGACTGAACAGACTTCCGTGCTGACCTCTTGCTCTCTTCTCTCTCGTCTTCTCAAGTGGAAGGAAAAAAGATCCCTCCTCCAGTCTCACCAAAACCCGCCCCGCCACCCACGGCGCCGAAGCCGGCCAAACTGATCCACTCCATGACCAGCCCCCCTTCCCCGACCCCGGCCACGCCTCCGGCAAAGCTGCACCCTAGCGTGGCCCGGCAGAGCAGCTCGCCGCCCTCGCTCCCCAATTCCGACACCCCCAGCCCACCGAACGTCAAGTTACCAAGCCCGTCCGCGCAGAGTCCGCATACCCCGCAGACGCCCACCACGCCGCAGACTCCTCAGACCCCCGCCACTCCCAGCCCGCCAGTCAAGCCCCCTCGCTCTTCCATCGGTGGCGTATCTGTGGACAGCGGGATGACGGCCGCGGGGATGAATACGCCGACGTCCTCGGCAACGGACTTTGGTGTGGATTCTTTGGTGCATCAGAAGCTGGAGGAGACGAGCGCGTCGCTAGCTGCCGCCCTGCAGGCCGTCGAGGACAAGATCCTGCGGCAGGAGGAGTGAGTGGCGCGCAACTCACAGAGAACAAATACACACAAAAGCTCCTAGTTTCTCCAAAACCAGGAACAGTGCAAAGGTCAGAAAATAGCGTTGAGTCCACTCAAAACGCCCATTCGAAAGTGGTTTTGAATTGGCCGCAATTCACCGCATCGCCAGTAAGTGGCACTGTGGCATCAACAACAGAGAGAGACCGGTCACATGTTTTGCGGGTTGCGCAGCTCTCATCCTAAATAAACAGACTTTGTCCTCTACTGGGGATTTTTACACTTACACAAATGTGCAAAACAATCATTTTGTACGATATTGGGTGTTTTGAAGCCAGGAAAAAAAGGAAAGTGTCATGAAGGTGTACTCATAAAATCTTCAAATGTGCAAAACAATCATTTTGTACGATATTGGGTGTTTTGAAGCCAGGAAAAAAAAAGACTTTGATGTAACGGTCAGTCAAGTCTAGTGGGCGACCCCTTTCCCCTAATAAGTCCGTTCAATGGAGGTTCCATGTTTTGTTTTTTGTTCGTTTTTGTTCTGTTCACAAATAGCTCATTCCGACGCAGATGGGATAACGTCATTCTGTGTGTGCAGTTCGGAACAAAAAACCACCGTGAGCATCCTCGACGACATCGGCAGCATGTTCGATGACCTGGCCGACCAGTTGGACGCCATGTTGGAGTAACCGGTCGGCATGTCGCCTTGGCAACGCTGCACCCGAAGCGACTCAGATGGACACAACGGGCAATCCGGCTCCCTGTCCCTTTTGTCGCTCTTTCTCGTCAGCCTTCGCCGATGGACTTGGCCCCTCTTCCTGTCTTCTGCGCCTCCTGTCCGTCCAGCGCTGCTCGGGGGAAACCTCCGATCCTCCTCTACAGGCGGAGCGAGGGGAAAACAATACACAGGAAGAAGAAGAGCAACAAGGAGAGGGAGCCTGCAATCAAAATAGGTGTCATCCTTTTAGACTTCAAACTAATAGCGATTGAAAAAGCAACAGTGTGATGACCCGTCGTATGGTACGTGTACATTCTAAGCATGGAGAGTTTATATCTACTGAAAAAGTCCTGCATTAGCACAGTGCTATATAATCGTCTACAGATAATTATGACGCTCTCGCTCTTTGGATCGATGTCTCGGTTATGTGTGGAATTCGGACCTCTGGTGTTTTGACCATGTAGAACGATGTAATCTCTGACCAATACCAGACCGGTTAGCTCCTAAAGTGTGCGTGTGTGCGTGTGTGCGTGCGTGTGTGTGTGTGTGTGTGTGAGAGAGAGAGAGAGAGATTGGTAGGTGTGCATATGTGCGTCAGGATTTGACTTTGCGTTTTGATTTCCTTGACCTCACCTTTAACGTACCCACTCACACGTGCAAACGTGGAGAAGCACAAGAGCCCGTGCGGTTCGCTCACACACGCGCGGGCCCCCGTACACAGGAGCCTGCACAATTAACGGATGGACCTGAGCGAATCGAGGGCTACAGCAGGTTGTCCTTGAGAAATAAATGTGAGGTTTTACAAAGAAAAAGATTGTGGGATGCATTTCAAAATGATCATAAAATACAAAGTGATTAGTTCAATGCAGGTGAAAGGCAGCACAGTCGCCGTGAAGCTTCAGCTGCGGTTTCACCTCATCACCGACCCCTGCTGATATTATACGGAAGGGTGAGTGATGCATTTTTTTTCTTCCAATTTCTAGTCTAAAAGCGTTCACGTGGTAGATCGAAGGCGGCTTTTAAGCCAGTCATGCGGAGAAGGAGAACACATTTCACTCACACTTTTTCCATAAGACTGAATTGAATTTACCGCATTGGTACACCTTGACATATCATTTCATACTACACGTGCAAATTGGTCTTTGTGACCAAATTGGCTGTTTGCCCAACTGAGACGAAGTCCAAGGACTCTGTTTTTGCCGAGAGCGCATCTGTGATCCTGATTTTTGTGCCAATTTGGCCAACCGTGTTTTTTTTTTTTCCAAGCTGGGCAGCAGGGAGAGCTTCTTGGAGATGCGCCTGTGGAATGACAATTTGCTGGTGGAAAGTCAGTCCAAACTAACACATGCTCAGACCCCGTCTAAGTGCTCAAACTCTAATCTGCCAAATTACCAAACGCACGGTCTAGGTTAGACTGCGCTCTGATGAAAGTGAAAAATGGAAACTTCGAAGAGAAGCCGAATACCGTCCTTGTATGCTATTGAACTTTGTCAAACTGTGTTTTAGTAAGCACAGACTAATCTGGTAACATTGGTGTTCTGAACATATTTCATGTCCGTCAGACTTTTTGATTTCTAATGTAAAATATTCTCAGATTGGACCTGTGTATTTGTCTCAAGGAAACAAACTCTTGTTCTCGTTAAGTCTTTCCTTTCTCATCCCACACGCTGACAAGCGCTCGCCCTGTGTTGCCATGACAATCTGCTTCATCATCATCCCCGCCATTTTAAATGGAGTTGCTGCGGTTACAGCACAATGAGTCGCAACAACAGTGTTGATGGCTTTCGAAAGACGTTAGGATAGTTAGAGGCAGCAGAGATCGGTGATGATGGACGCGGTTTGTTTGAGCAACTTTAATGACGTATTCCCTCACATGACTATATTTATAATAAATGATTTTTTTTAGGCGTATGTGGTGCTAGGAAAAACAACAAAATTGCTGCGTAAAACCGGCGGAGTACCTCTTGAATTGCTCAATCTAACCCGAAGTTGCATCCCACTCATACAGAGCATCATTTAAATAATATAGAGATTACAATGTATAGAGATATTTGCAACCAAAATAGAAATGTATTTATGATGTATGTGTCAACCTGAAGACTATTTTTCAAAGTTAACAGATCTAATCTGAGTGTTCAATCGAGTTGCTCTCCATTGCTTCAGTGGTGCGAGTTGATGAGTCGTCATCTGGTTCCTTGTTGCCTGCGTGTGTTCAATTGTCCCACTGTAGCGTCGTGTGTCGAATACAAGCAACACTTCTTCTCAATCCTTCTCGTTTGGCTTTCAAACTGGTGGCACTTGTTTTTCTTTCAAACATGTGCCTTGCTTGTTTGTGACTTTGCTTTGACTTCGAGTACACTCGAGTATGACCCATAGCCACCTCCTTCTTCAAGATGACATATTCGACATATTTTCATCCGACCTCAAGGGACCATGTCGAACATGCCCCCTCGAGACCATTTCTACGTACTACGGAGGCCCCAAGGTGACCTGGAAGAAAAACAAAAAACGGATTTGCGTTCCCTCGCATTTTACTTTCAAATCGGCGTGAAATACAAAGACATCAAATCTATTCGCGATTTAATTCATAAATGAGCAAAAGATATCGAAAGCGTACTATCGTCTCTCAAACGTCAGCGCGTTAGTCGACAGTTGCCAACCTGACTCGGAAGTAGTTGAACGCACATTTTTAAACAGGGGTCCCCGTACGATTTCACCTGTTGCAAAGACAACGAACAACAACAAAAAAATCCCACTAATGTGGAATCATCAATTTGTATGCTGATTCCCACTATTAGCCTCTCTTTAGACCCCGCCAATTTTCATTTTCCCATGTGTATGATGTTGGTTGCGATTTTTTTTCTTCTTCTCAATGCAGGGTCAACAAATGTACTGTACCCATCACCCACATGTAAGGAAAGGAAAATGCTGAAAGGGAATTACTTGCCTTACGTTCATATCAGTGTTCTTTTATCCGGTAAATAAAGTTACAGCTCTCCCTCAGACGCTATTGGTTTCAAAATGTTGAACATGTTCTGCGCCCGCTTGGATCTCATTGCTGTTCTGGGTTTATTCTGAAGAAATGTTGGGGTTGGGGTGGAAAAAAAAAGATACAGACGGTCTTATTTGAGTTTATTTCTTAACAAAAGAGAGAGCCACGCCGTTTAAAGTAGATTTCCTGCCTGTGCTTATATGAAGGGATACCAGAGTGGTGTCTCCACTTGTTCTGCGGTGACTGGTGTGACAGACGGAAGCCGAATGTGAGTGCGCGTTTTGTGTTGCTCTGCTTTTGATCGTGTGAAACGCGCGTGAGACTATTGCGTGTGTATGTGGCAGTGAGTGGACAGTGGTTGGTGTGCTTGCAGTGACTGCATCGTATGGCCATCTGCTCTAAATAAATAAACGTTCTATACAAACTGCACCATCTTCTGTGTTTTGCTGTTTTTATGTTTCAGTTTGTCCACGTGGGGGTGTCACAGAACTGCAACTTTGAACGCCTTAAGGCCATGAATAGTGAAAAACCGCCGTCACAACAAAAGAAGCCAACTACAGTACAGGCGCTCCCCGATTTACGAGCATTTATGTTACGAACAACGGTACATACGAACATTTTTGCGGGTACAGGTATGTCGAAAAATGTTCTCGGACAGAGATGCTGTAAGTTAGATTTTGTATTGCGCGCCTTTTTTCCGAGTACTGTAGTACTTCTTTCCGCCGCTAATACCGACGTGAGGCGCTGTGAGAGGAGGAGGAGGAGGAAACACCTGTCCTCATGAAGAAGATTGAGACGGAAGTCTTGGCCGAGTTGTTTTCGCTCAAAGATAAATACATGGCACTCTTCGAGCAGCAAGACCCAAATATTGAACGTGGCACAAAGGTTGCAAATCAAATGAATGATGCCATACTGTGCTACTGCATCATTTATGATGAGAAAAAGAAGAAAACTGCAATCGTCCATCATCTCCTTAAGCCTTCGAGTACATCTTCCAAAAGTAAGTTAAACTTCATTTTATTATACTTATATAAACCTTAAACATACTTATATACGCCTTAAACATACATTCCATACAAAATATAGTACTGAAGCAACTCACGAACGAATTCAGCCAACGAACGATCCTTCGGAACGTATCTCGTACGTTAGCTGGGGAGCGTCTGTATTTATTTTGCTGCCATCTTGTGGCATCTCGAGGCTATTCAGCTATTTGCTGAAACGCTGACCAGGATGCGTGGTCAGCGGAGGCAGAGCTTCATTGAGCGGAACAGTCACGATTAAATCTAAAGTTTTAGTTCTCCAGTTCAATTTCGGTATTCATGTTCTTTTCGAATACAGTAATGCTCATGATTTCATCATCAAATGGCTGAATTTGTGCATTTACGGTTACACGGGCGCGAGATGAGGAAGTGCCTGGCCATGCTTCAGCGGTGCGTGCAAGCTGATGAGTCATCATATGGTGAAGGGAACAGATGGACATGCATGTGCGCACGTGAAGCCCTTTGAGACTCTTTAGGATTAAGGGCCATAGAAATAAATGTGACTTGACTTGAAATAAACCACTCAAATGTTGAAGTGTACAACCGTTTTATTGATCGATGATCAATTTGACCGTACATGATTACACGTCAACAAGAAATCTCTAAGTAGTGGTCCAGATGTGCACTCAGATGAAAGCAAAATACATTTGAGAATGTTTAGTAAATGTTTTGTGGGTGCACCCTACTCATAAATGTGATGTGGGTGAACATGTTGCTATGACTACAGGCTTATATTTAGCCCAATATGGGCGCTTACACATCATGTTTGTCCAGTGACACTTTGTCCGTATTGGCTTCTGCAAGTTTATTACGAACCCGCTGTCACTTCCTGCTGATTATTAATGCATACAAAAAGCTCATTGTGTCTTATCAATGTGTGCGCCACTAAACAATCTGAGTAGCTCATCCTCTCTTTGAATCCTTTGCATATGGCACTCATTAAAACACACCCACACACACACACCAAATTATATTTGTGTGTCTCTTATTAGTCTGCGCAAGTTCTGGACTTAAGTGGCTGTGCGATATAACATCTATCTTATTGAAATTGAATCTTATAAAGGCTGGTTTCAGAAAGCCGAGTTGAGGAGGGGGAAAAAAAAAACCCGATCATGTTTCTTTTTCAGCCTCCCTGAACTGTAATCTCGTTTTATAAAATACTGTAAACAGGAAATTCAAGAGGCGCTATATTACAAGATCAGTTGATGTAAAAAGCCTGTGTGCCAAACCAGCCGCGAGGAATTCTTCGATGCATCGCCGATTGAGCTGCAATGTCGAAGGAAAAAGGTGTGGTGGTTCAAATCATTTACAGGCACGGAACATTCAGCCAGCCAACCGTATGAGAGCTTGCCATAATGCACAATATGATGAGATCATGGAGGACCGTGAGTTGAACGCTTGGTCCTGGTAACCTTGGAGGGTCAAAAGGTCGGAGCTCTTCCAGCAAATACTTCTCGGACTGCGAGTGTGAAGACAAACATACAGCAAGGAGGGAATGTAGACGCGTGGGAGATCCGTCCGCCGCAGACAAACATGATACCATCTCCGTAGGGCTGGCTCTCCGTTCAGCATGTCCACACCTGGGGAGACCGAGGGCAAAGGTCAAATAGAACAAATGCGCACGTGGGTGAATTTGTCGGGAAGACGTCAAAACTTTCGTGCTACCTTCACCGTGCTGTCCACTGCTCCGGAGAAAAGGCGACCTCGGGACACAGCCAGAGCCGTGACGCTGCCCTGATGTCTGAGCAGGGTCTGGGTGCAGATCATGTTGTCCATGCTCCACACCTGAACACACACACACACAAGCATTGAATCTCTGCATTTAGGTAGCACGCCAAACACAAAACACAATCATCTTTCCGCACCCTCAGGGAACGGTCGTAGGAGGCACTGAACACTTTGGTCTGGTCGGGCGTGGAGATGACAGCGAGAGCATAAACTGTCCCCACGTGACCTGTCAGGGTCCGCACCTGCTCTTTGGACTCAATGTCCCACACCTGGACAGGACACACAACATCTCACTAGTCTCGAGCACAAAACCGCCGCAGAGATTTCGGCAGTGGAAGAAAAGTGAATTCAGTTTGTGTGTGTGTGTGGAGGATCTTACGTGAATGAGGTTTTCATAGGTGCCGCAGACGATGTGATGATTAGTAACGGCAATCGAGTAGACGCTGCCGCCGCTGGTCTGCAAGACGTGGACACACTCCAAAGAGCGAATGTCCCAAATCTGTCGGGCGAAGGAGGAGGAAGCGGTCAAGAGGAGAGAAACGTGGCGCAAAAAGACGATTCTCAGGGTTGCGTTTTGAGATGTGATGGGAACAGAGACGCCGGCAAGGCATTCATCTAACGCAGCAAACCCATTTTTCACACCGACGACGAAGCTAGCGCATCACTGGAGTGACATTTGACAACACTTGAATAGGAATCATATTTTTCCAATCGGGACTTTTCCCCTCACACGGGTGCATGGTACAGAGCCTATAATTAACTCATGGTAAAATAGGGAAGGACACCCCATTCCGGAATCGACTGTAGCGTGGCTCCAAATTGGGAGATTTTGCATCC